CTTGCCTATCGCCCCTGTCCACGGCGCCTTACGAGCCGAGCGAGTAGGCAACCCGCCCGCACTCGTGCATGCGGTACAGTACCTACAGAAGTGCGCGGTGTGAATCAGGCACCTGGTATATCTACAACCGAGATGGAGACAGCGTCATTGAAAACCAAATAGCCGTTTGAAGTAACTCCAAATTTTGTTCGTCCAATTTCAACATCACCGAAGATCTTCCCTTGACGTGGAAATTAATCTCGAGGAAAGTGTAGGAGTTAGTACACGCCCCCCCCCATCCCCCCCAGAAATTATAAGGCTCTTACAGCGATATCGACTTTTTTCACTCACATCGTTACCCCCATCATGATGAACCTATCTACTTGCTCTTACTTCAAGGTCCTGTAGCTTTGCAGGGCCAGGCAAGGGGCACCCGTTGTACTCCCTGGGACAGAAATCTCTGCTCTGCACTCTGAGACGGCGGAGACGTGGCATATAGGTGACGGCATGCAGGTGCTCCTCGTGTGCATCTACCAACTCCAACGCTTCCAGTTGTCGACTTAGCACGCCCAGCAGCGCACAAGCCCACGCCGGGTCCATACCACACTGCAGACCCCTCAGCATCTTCACCTGTAAGGCAAGCTCCTACATTAAACAGGGGCAATCGGAAAAGTGGAAGCTTTTTATTATTATTAATTTCTTATCAAAACTGATTTGATCCTGTCTTTTGAAATAAGATCAGGTTTTCTTACTGCTGGATTGCAGTCAAGAAGTAGGGCATCCTTCTCCATGCGCTTCCCAGTAGTGCGGCTTAATACAGTAACGTCCAGCGTACCAATCGTCTGAAAGACATATAGAATGCAGTGTGACATGCCTCAAACGCAAACAATTCGGGTATATGTGTGTGATAGAAAATGAAATGGATTTACTTCGATTTCGAACTTTGTGCCGTTCCCATCTTCGGGATTTCTTAGGGGCTCATCGATCAGCGAGTCCCAAAATGCTTCATCTTTCGTTACCTTTTCGGGTACAGCATGATGCTATTGCAGAGGAGATAAAAGGAAACCATTAAGAACTGTTTTGTAAACACATAATAAATAAATGTTTTTTGTTGTAACATTAACGCTTTTTTGTACTTGTTGAAGAGCGGCATTGTTCCGTATGGCTGATAATGCCGTCACCGTGTTGCTGTCGAATTCTGTGGAGGCTCCTAATCCAATACTTGTGGGAAACTTTGTGGCAGATGAACTTTCTAATTTATCCAAATTCTTAGACTCAGGCTGTCCTGGCAACTCCGACTCCTTCCCCGCGTTCAGCGGCGGTGACTTCAGGCGGATTAATTTTGCACGCTGCATCGTGGAGAGTAGACCCAATACTACTGCTGCAGCGTCCCCATCTTCGCGTTGCTGCAGGTTGAGGTCTCCGCACCAAATCGTTCCCTCCTCACCGTGCACCGTCACTTCGCACCTCCTAGCTGATCGCAGGAAGTCCAATGACTGTTCATCAATGGGTAACCTAGAGGGGAACACAAAACTATTCAATACCACTCGCTCGCATTACGTGGCAGCACTGTAGGAATCAGAGTGGACAGTGATTTTGGTTTGCCTATTCCCTTTGTCCACACTGTGCATGGCCCGTCCACTGTGAAAAATAGTGTCGTAAATTTACAATTTTTTTTGTAAACCTGAATTATAATTTAAGTTCTAAATTTTCGAAAGCACCTTTTTTACTCGCTAATAGATTTTAAGTAGATATGTACTGCATGGATTTTTGCAAATTGCAATTTTACAACTAGCGTTAAGGAAAATTTTCCTGTAAACCTTCCTACTTTATTTCACAGTGGTCCGGTCCAGGAGTGTATGCAATACCGCAACGCTGCACACTCAATCTTAATGTTCTTTTGTTGCCGCATGTGAACACACTGTATAGACCGCGAAGAACCCTCGCGGGCCGACCGCCTAATAACAGCGGTGGAGGAAGTAAAGGGTTGGCACTTTAGAGTCGATCCTCGGCCCCTGATGGGTATGCAGTCACGGATAAAGTCTTGGAGGTGGGTTGCATATTAGAAAAGTGCGCGGCATGAATCAAATACCTGGTACACTTATTGCGTGTGCATGTAACGCCCGCTCTGGTGCACCCGATAGAGCAAATCAGCCGTCAAAATTGCAAGGGCAAAAGTAATAAAAGCTTGTTCAATTTCTGTAAAAGTACACACTAAATTGTTAAGATTTGTTTTGGACGCAGTTTATGTACCAGGCGGCTGATTTCCAGCAACACTTCTGTAGTGCTGTACCGCACGCACGTTATGCGGACCGAGCGAGTACGCAGCCCGCCCGCTTGTAAGAGTGTGTGGTACAGCAGAACTACACAAGAGCGCGGGGATAATCAACCATCTGTTAATTTCTGTAAACATTTTATGCACTATTGCGTATTATTTTATAGGGAATTTTAACAAATGAAGGGAATTGGAACGTCGTGAAAACTTTTGTCCATAGCTACCAATAAAACGATACGCAATAGCGCATGTTTACAGAAATTCGTACGCCTATTAAAAAGTTCGTAATAATTTAGTGTGGGGAGCTTCTCATCTGACAAGTTTTTAGAAAATTTCCTCATTACTGTTTCAAACCCTCCATGTACCTTCAGGATTTTGTCACACAACTCATTATAATAAACCCAAACTCTTTTACACTCTTACCTCTCCGCACATGATTGACGAGCCTCCTCAATCGCAGCATATGCCTTTTCCCACTCGGGTCCAATCAACTCGAGACTATCGTACAACAGGGAAAGGGAAGTCTGAGTATTTTCATGATGCTTGGCGAATTCGTCTGCCTGCAATGAGTATAATGAAGAGATGAAAAATAAATATTCAACACAAGAAACCATAGTTACAACTAAAACCAGTGAGAAATACAATGTTGACAAATACTAAATTCAAATAGTCAATTAACAGCGACTGAACGATCAATAGAACGTTATGGTCACTGTAAAAAATATGTTCGTAGACGTACCGTACAATATTGTCATTTACTATTTACATAGGTTAAGGATGTTGTAGATGTACGTACCGGGTTAACTGTGAATACGCAAGAGTGTTGCGGATTTGCCTACTCTTTACACCCTTAAGGGGCCATATGCCATATGGCCCCTGTGGCAATATTGAGTATGCAATCCCGCAACACAGCTGCGTATTCTCAGTTACACCCGGTACATGTACAACATCGCACTATGGTTCGTCAAAGAATTTCTGGTTTAAACGCAGTACTTTTGAAATTACAGTTTTCAATAATGGTAACCCTCGACGCGGCCCATAGAAAAATTTCCTGTACCCAGTACAACATCTGACAGGGGTGTTAAGATTTGTTATTTAAAAAATGTCAAGTTTTCACCGTTACTTTATTTTGGGGCAAACCCCATAAAGAAGGTGGCGCGGTAAAAGGCGGCACTAATACTGGTGTAAGATGATATGAGAACTACACCAAAAAACCGAAGTGTGTGAATTTCGCAAACTTGTAGGTATGTGTACGACATTACGTGCATGTACACGTGTGTGAATTTCAAAGGAAAATTCCCACATTTACGCCTTTAATCTACGAATTGGCATTCACACACCTTCAACTTTGTGACTTTTCATAAACTTGTGTTTCCAGTGTACCATAGAGATCTGCACACAGTTCGAAAACCTGCCCGTGGACCCTGGCTTTACAGACAATGCAACCCCCGTAACGCCGCTTTTCCAATGCGCATTCAAAAGCGCAAAAAAGGTGACACATTCCTTGCGCATTTAACGCGCATTAGTGCATTGAATGCACATTTAGTGCGCATTACACGCATTAAATGCGCAAGGAATGCGAAACCTTTTTTGCGCATTTTAATGCTCATTACCGCATTGAATGCGCATGAATGCGCATTGGCGCTTCGGCGGGGAAGGAAGAATGTTTTCAAAAAACATTGCCCCCTTAAGCCTTACAGATATTTTGCCACATTGAGTAGTTGGTGAGACTAAACTCACCTGCTTTCCCAAAAACCCGTTTAGTCTTTGGTCGACCTCCCTTAACATTTCGGCCAATCGCCGTCGAACTGACACACTCCTCTCTAGTAGATCGACTGCGTCCTTGAGCTCGCGCCCACGATGCTTTTGAAGCCGGCATATTGTATGCTTCTCCTCACAAGTCCGATCTGCTACCTCATTACACTCGATGCACCAGAATCTTACAGGCGTTGGTCTATCAGAAAAAAAGAAAAAAGAAAGGGTTCGATATATTTAGACGAAAGACTGTACATTTGTTTTTGTGAGTAATACTGAGGCGCACGTGTGTGACCGCTGAATGAGCAGCGGACAGGTGGGACCCAAAATCTGTCACACTTTTAGCTGCAGTACACTACAGAAGTCTGTCCCAACACGGGGTGTTATTACAGCCAGATAAGGACACTAAAAGAACAGTCTTCTAACTTAGGTACACATTGATGACAACGCACTTTGGCTTTTCTTTTGGCCCATCCTGGATCATGGATATGATGTAGAAATTGTCGATTAGCTCATTCGGTGACGATCGAGTCTCCTGGTTTGCAATGTGGAAACAAAAATGTATTAGAAGTTATAATTTTAGTAGAAAATAGCAATCTTTTTTTTTTAGGACCTATGCTTTGTAGTTAATGAAAGAGGGAGATTTACGGAGGTTTCTAGTGGTGCTTGCGGCTGTTGAATCCAACCAAGATTTACACATCTTAAAATTATCGCCAAGAGTAACTCAAAATTCAACGCGTGCCCCAAGAGTCCTGCCTCGCCAAGACATGAAGAATTAGCTTTCCGAGTTTCAGAAGTATGGCTTTCTCTTACCCTTCGACATTTTGGGCAGAGAAATGAGTTGCTTGGCTGTGTTCCTGCAGCTTTGCGGTGTAGTTCCTCCACGCACATCAGGCAAATCGTATGCCCGCAACTCAGAAGTTTAGGCTTTCGCGTAGATGAGTCAAACTCGTCGAGACAGACCTCACACTCGAGAACGTCCATCATGCTGCACTGCAAACTGAAAACAACAGACGTTGAAACAATGTTTTTTTTGGGGGGAG